TAGAACACTTAGGGAATGGAGGAGTCTTTCAAAATTCACATCTCTTCAGCTGCCTCTTCTGAGGGCTCGGGGTCCCTGTCGAAAAGTGGTGGCAGCTTGTTTCCAGAAGGCAGCATCAGGAAACTTACTCAGAATGAATTTTGTGTTATCCACACAGTGAATTCAAAGGCATCTTTATCACGCAGCCCCACTTGATTATCTTCCCCCCATAAGATCTCCACAAACTCTGACCAAGCATCGCCGTGCCCTTCCTCCCTGGCTAGGGGAGAAGTTTGCTAGGGTTGAGGCTGGAAGGAAAGCTATGTCCCAAATTGAGGCCAGGGACATCGGTCATTATATTTTTAGACCTCGGAAAAATTGGTCTAAGAGGCATCTATGACAGTGTCCCTGGCCCTCTTCATTTGGATAGTAAGGACCCAATGACATCTTAGAAAAATGGAGGCTGCCTGCTGAGATGTGGGGACAGTCCTATGTACAGGACACATCCACAGGACTCCCCCTCCCCAACCATCACCAGAAACCAACAGCTTCCTCCTCAGGCCGTTCCCTCTGACGTTCAGCTCCTTGGGAAAGCAGGATGCTGCTTTTTAAAAGTACTCATTGACCTTGAACTTTTAAATGTGTTTCTCAATTTTCCCCTTTTATCACTGTCCGGCTCACATTATGCTATGTCATTTCTTAAGTTCCGGTATTTAATATAAAATACTGAATGAAAACATATTTTACAAAAGAGCTCTGCAACTGGAGATGTGGAGAGAGACCACCACGCCGATCAAGCATATCCTTTCTCCCCGCACCGGACAAACATTCCCAGTATCCGAACGAATAAGCGGGCAAGGCATTGGGATTGCTCCTCAGGTTTGTGGGGCCAACGGGTGTGGGGACAGAAGGATAAACAGGGTACAAGGAATGGGCTAAGAGTCAAAGTCGAGTGAGAATCTCAACTGTGCCATGTACAAGCTGGTTATATAAGCCGGTTGTATATTACCCTGTGGGACGTACTTCTTGGAACCTGTTTCTTCATCTGTAAAATGGGAATGTTCTCAGTAGAACTCCTGGCTCCATCCACACACAAAGGTCCAATAAATGGCCCCTGTTATGATCATTTGCCTGTTGGCACTTGAGCATCTCCGACGTGGGAGAGCCCTGGGTGTGTGTTCACAGTGCTGGCGCCGGTTCACGTGGGGGTCAGGCCCTGTCAGACAGAAGCCCCCTCTTCCTGTCAGACCTCCCTGACATCCACACTTCATCCCTCATCCCGTCTCATCCTTCTTGCCAGAGCTGTCTGTCTCCCTCTTTCCATCCCTCCTTCCCCCTTTCTCCGGAGTCCAGCTGCCTCCTCAGTGGCCCTCAGAATCCTTGCCGTGTCAGGCAATCCTTCTTACCCGGTGTCAACATCCCCAAAGCCCCTGGGACGCTGCAAGGGGAAAAGCTGCTTGTTTCAACCAACCCACCCTGCGCATTTATCTCGGCCCCATCTCCCCCGGCCCAGCCTTCAGTCCTCCCCTGCCCCATAAAAATATCTTGTTATCTCTTCAGCTCGCATGTGCTGATTTGGTCTGCCTCCGCTGCTTACATCTGTGATCTGTCTGAGGCTTCCCCTCATACCCGGCTGGCTTTCAGTCTGGGACTAAAGGCAGGGAGTCTCCAGAGTCCTGGGTCTTGGGTTTGCTCTCCTCTGTCTCTGAAAACCGGCCTTATTCAGGACTTGAGTAGACAGAGCTGTCTGCTGACTGGGCTGGAAACCCACCGGCCCCTTCCTCTGCTGTCTGGCTCTCTCCTTCTTTCTCAAGGCCAGTTCAAGAACAGAATCAGGGTTTCACTTGAAAAACGGAGAAAAGCCCGGCGCCCTCCCCTGAAGCAGCTGCTTTCTCAGTGCAAGAAACCAGACCAGGTGTGATCTTCATCATCATGAGCACTTAAACTTATTACGCTTTGCACAGATTTTAATCCCTTGACACATAACACGGTCATTAGAAGCAAAGACCTAAATGAAAAGGGCCAACACCTTTGAATTTTCTTAGGGATCTGTCTTCCTTCCTGTGGAAGCTTGCTTTCCCTTACTGTTGTAAGCATTTACCTGTGAGAAATTCTTAGTAGCCACTCAGCCAGCAGTGAGGCTTTGAAGAAAAATGCCCCCAGGTGAGAGCCACTGTTCTACACACACACACACACACACACACACACACACACACACACACACACAAAATCTCTCCCGGACACACCTGTTGGTCAAAGACCAGAAGTACAAACACTTGGCAGGGAGGAGAGGGTTCTAGAAGCCACTGCCTTTGCCCACTGGCACCCAAGGCACCAAGCAAGTGGTTCTCGGTAGGAGCAGGACATGGGGAATTCCTGCCTGTCAGCAAGGCTGCTGGCTCACAGGGAGTCAGTTCTCTCCAAAGCCACAGAATTCCAGGTTGTGGGTGTCAGGGAGGTTGAGGGCTGCTTTGGTGATGTGGACCATGGAAGGCATAGCACACTTCATCTCGCCCAGGGAGGCCTCCCTGCTTGTGGCGGTCACCAACAGAGGATGGGGAGACCTGGTTGGAAACCAGAACTCCCCATGGGTTCTCCCGGATCCACCGGGGTAACACCTGTAGCATGAGCGTCCCTACCCACAGCTCCACAGGCCACCGCTGCACAGCCCTGGGGCCATCTTCCCTGGCTGCTCCCTCTCTGGGCTAGACAGGTTCAGTGTGGCCCCAGGACTGTCAAGAGCAAATCTCATCAGTCACCTTTCAGCAAGCATTTATTGAGCCCACTCTCTAGGTCCTTGCTATGGAAAGGGCAGTTTATGGCCCAGCTGGGAGCTTCTAAGAAATGCAGACTCTCAGGCCCTGCCCCAGTGCTTCCAAAGCTGAGTACGCCCCTTGGCGATCCCTCACGTGATGCCCATGGTCACTGAAGGTTGAGAAGGCCTTTCTCTAAGTAACCCAGGAGAGGCAGATCCGCTCCTATCCAGCGGCTCATGGTCCGGCTGGGAAGACCGTGTTCACAGATCTGAAACAGTGGAGGGAGTGCGAGTCTATGTCACTGAGCCTGACTGGTGGGTACAGGACATCAAGACCAAGTCCTGCCTCAGCTTCTCGTTTGTAAAGTGGCAATGAAACTTGACTCGTTGACCTTGCAGATCGTCCTAGATGGGAAAGCGCTATACCCACCGAAGTTACAATTTATTGTTACAGACTTAGAATGCAACACAAGTTCAGACATGAGGGGGCTACAGAGGACTGCAACAGTCTGAGTAATCCAGCAAAGGAGAAGGGGGCTTTCAAAGACATTGAACCATATACTGAACTAGATAGACACTCTAGTCAAGCAAGAGGGGAAAACGCACATTTTGACACACGAACCAAACACAACCTCACTGGAGGTACAGAGAGCTCCCCCCGACCAACTTTCCCTGACTTTCACCCTGACGATCGACTGAGGCTCAGATCCGTAAGTCTCAGAGGCACACACTCACTGCCACCCAGAGCCTCACAGAAGACACAGAGCGAGCAGATGTCGTCTCTGTGCAGATGTCAGCAAGAGCCGTCTTGCTGTAAACCTCACCTCTGCTTGGGGGTATAGGAAAATAGATTTGTCTTTTTTTTTTTTTTAAGATTATTTATTTATTTATTTGACAGACAGAGATCACAAGCAGGCTCCCCACTGAACAGAGAGCCCAATGCGGGGATCAATCCCAGGACCCTGAGATCATGACCCGAGCCGAAGGCAGAGGCTTTAACCTACTGAGCTACCCAGGCACCCTGGATTTGTCATTTTGCAGGGCTGACCAATGAAGATGGCTCGACAATGCCAGGAAACATACACAGGGCAGAGCTAAAGGAAATTAGCAGGTGAGTTCTTAGCTAATTAGTTTCCTAGGTAATGCTTCTCAAGCCTTTGCTTTGTCCTAGATCTTTTCTTTTCTCTTCTCTTTTCATTCCCTTCCCTTCCTCTTTCTTCCTTCTTCTCTTTCTTTTTTAAATTTAATCTTCACAAAAATCCTATCAAGCAGGGGAATCTTTTGTTCCTACCTTGCAGAAGAGGAAACTAGGGATTTAGGATTTGAACCCAGGTTGGTCAGTGACCTTAGCTGTCGCCTGTTAAACCGCTAAGGCAGTGTGAGAATCTCTGGTCTTCCTCCTGCGGTTGAGACAATGTGGCTTTGCTGTCGTTGTGAGACCTGGCTCGCTCTGACTTGCTGACGTTGGCCATGCTTGTCCTGAGCTTCTCCAGAGAAATGCTGTCTTCTGGCAGGAAAAGATAAAACTGGCTGATACAAATGAGTCACCATACTAGCTATAATTAACAATGATGCAAGAGCCAGATGCAAACGAAGAGGGGGCCTCAGGACCTGACTTTTAGACGGCCCAAACTCTTAGCTGCTGGAGAGTCTCCGTGGCAGAGCAGCTGTCTGCTCTGGGTACGCTATGGAGGAAGACGTGAAACCTGGGCGCAGGCGCATTCCAAGCTACTGGAGCTGGGAAGGGCACCACCAAGTCAACCTCCTTATTTACAGCTCAGAGACCATACACCAGAACCAGAAAAAGAGTTTATAGTTTATACATAATGTAGACCTTTGCATTTACACCCGGCTGCCCTGGAAAGTCTAAGCACTTTTCCACCTACCGAGCTGATTTCTAACAACCACAGACGGCAACTCAGTTGTGCTAGGTGTTCAAAGTGTTCAGCCTCTGGCCTCCCAACTGCTGTATGTACCTGTGAACTTTCCAGACAAAGCCCAGTCATCATTAGCATCCCTAGTCTCATTTGCTGACCTGGAATCTTGTATCACTTGTTAGGGATACAAGGATAGCCTGATTAAATTCACCAAGCCCTCCATAAAGGCATCTGACCACAGCGCGAACACCATCACCCGGGGAGGCTGGCTGCTTCCAGGATGGATAACTGCTTCCTGGGGTTCGTGACCTTTGATGTCCCATAGCATCTTCTTACCTGTTTAAGACAGTCTCAACCCTTCTTAAGATTTGAACACAATGCAGCTGATACAATCTTGCCACTTTCCTTTTGAAGAGACTTTAATTGAGAGTGAAGTGAAAAATGCAGGTTACATTTTTAGTGTTATCATTGATATGTTGTAAGATCAACACCAAAACAGTGATGCATCTAACATTTACACATTTCCTAAGTTTAGTTGTCAAAGAGCAAATCATGATCAGATATATACATTTACACAATAATTTCAAGCAACAGTAAATAATAAACACCCTCCTTTAGCACACATGCACACACACACACACTCACACACACTCAACCACCCTTAATGGATTTCCTCACACTAGTAAGTCTCATCTTGCCACATACACTGTTAGACTCAAAGTTACTTAACAACAGTCTTATCAGTGGGGATGCTGGACCAGCCCAATTTTCTTCTAGAATCACTTTAATTTTTACAACTTGAAGCCACATACCCAACACGGTCTGTACATTCTAAGGACACCCTAGATGATAAAAATGAATTCCACTTCCTTTGTGTGAGGAGAGATGTACATCTCTGAAGAGGAATGTGATTACAACTCCAAAAAGTCAAAAATAAACCCCAAATCTCAGATCTCCAAGCACAGCTTAACAGCATTGTGCTAGTGTTAACATTGAATTAGCTCAACGGGAAGATTCTTTTTGATTTCTCTACAGAGGTACTGGTTAGTTCTGATTCTTTCTTAGGCTGCTTGAAACACACATGTCTCTTAAGGGGCCTGGGAGCAGTACATCGCGCTGTCCAGGTTAGCGGCCTGCCTAGCCTCCGAAATGTCAGACAGGGCTCAGCCCCGGTGCCTTGCTCTCTGATTTATTTCTGGCTGTTAGTAAGTGGAAACCATGACAAAGTTTACATTAGCAGACACATACACATGCCCCAGCCTGTAAATATTCTATGATGGAAAATGGTACAATGACTCCATTCCTAGTGAAAAGGAGCGTAAAAGGAGAAGAGGGGGCGGGGGTAACGTTACCAATAATGGCTCTTCTCCCAGTGGAAAACCCAGACCAAATGGCAGAGATGGGCTTTGAACTAACTGGACTTTGTCAGCCACTTCTCCAGGGTCTCTGGAAAAGCAAGCCAAGCAGAGCCCAGCGGCCTGGGGCAAACCTGGCGGGATCCAGCAGCACAGCCATCTTGTCTTGGAAGCTGGTTGAAGAAGACCACCGGCCATTTCCTTCTTAGAGAGGTGAGTGAGGAGGAATTTTAAAGTCAGATTTGAAAGGAGTTCACACACCGTCCTGCCTGGGACACAGACATGTCCCCCGGTCAGACCCCCTCAAAGCGCCAGCTGGAGTTTGGTCATGTTTCTCTGGTGCATGTTGTGATGGCGGACTAATTCGTCTGAGCGGGCAAACTTTTTCTGACAACTGGGCCACCGACAGCTGAAGGGCTTTTCACCTGTTGACACAATTGCCGGTCAGAGACACTTGCGGCAGAGAGACTGGGCACAAGTTCAACTCTCAAAGTTCTGAGTTAAATCATCCCAAGGCACTCACCCCCCATCAACACAACCCCCGGCCAGTTCTTTCCCTAGGCTAACAAATCGGGCTCATTTCATGGGCAGCCTTGGAATGGCAGCACCTCTGGACCCTTCAGGATTAAATGACTGTAGAAAGTATGAAATATTATTAAGTCAGAGGACTGGGGAAATGACAGGAAAGGAAAGAGACTAGTTAATCAAAATGGGCAATTCATATGTAATCGAGGGGAAAACATTTGTTTCAACCTTTGCTCTTAGACCATTTTGTGAATTGCATAGATGTTTCCCCTCCACTGTCTTCCCAGGGAATCCAGCTTCAGTGGGCTGCAGGAGCTCAGGTTCATGACCCTGGGTATTACTGATGGATCGCCCTCCTGTAGTAGAGCTGGGACTGTAGCTTACATATCTCTGTCTGTGTCAATATTCTGGATGGGCTGCGTATTTTAAAATAAGTCATTGATACCACTTGGCAGGGTATTTGCTTCCTTTACCTTCAAGTGTTCCTCAGAGCATAATCCCTGTTCTAGTAGAGGCGTGGTTTTAAGATTTTTAATGAGCTTGCCAAAAGATCGAGACCTCCCCACCTAAGGAGCTCTCAGAAGTTCCTTCCAAGCCTCATTCTGGACAGGAAGGATAATCAGCATTTATGAAATGCCTAGTATATGCCAGCCTTGTGCTGGGTATCTTCTGTATACTTTATTTCACGTATCCCTTACAACAGCTCTGCAAGACAAGCATTAGTATGCCCACTCTGGAGCTGAGGCTAGACCACTAGCAAGGGCAGACCCAAGCAGGATTTAATCCCTGGGCCTGTCTGTTCCTAAGCCCATGGGCTTGGCAGGATCCCCCCTCCCAGGCCTGGCCCTAATGGAGATAGAGCTGTGTGTGTCTTTTTCCCAAGTAAAAATGCCTCAGGAGCCAATCTCTGTCCAACCAAGGAGAACTTCCCAGGATATTGTTGGTCCCACTTTGGCTCCTCTGAGAACTACTGGTTGGCACAAGCAGGGAGCAATGTCTCAGGGGAGGCACTGTTTCAGGGTCAGAACTAGGGGCTGATCAAAATAGGGTAAAACAGTCTGCCAGTGGCGTGGGTCATTTTGCACATATGCCTATAGACACAGGGTTAGAGGAGGAGGGGGCCTGGATATAAGGGATGATAATTTTCTCACCAAATTATGAGCTCAGGACTAAGAAAAAGAAGAAACACGAGAGGCACCTGAGAAGGGCAAAAGAGAGGCCTGTCCCATCAACTCTGGGGTGGGCACAGGTTTATAAATGCAGCCTATTGGGGATGAGAATCTGCTACTTCATGGGGGCTCACAACCTCATGTTTTCCTTCATCTCCAACTCACTATTCCTCTGCTCTTCCTGATCTGACCCTTGGCTATCCCTCCCAACCTCCAGCCACGCTGTCAAAGGTCATGTTCTAATGGGCAAAGCCCAACCCTTTCTCTCATTGGTCTTCACTCTCCTCAGTCTCTCAACGGCACTCAGCTTTGCTGACCTTGGCTCTCTTCCTGATTTCTACCCTCCCTGGGCTGTGAGACAAACCTACGCTTTCTCCAAAAAAGAAAGCCATGGGACGTGGTGGGCTGGGAGCAGAAGGAATTGGGATTGCTACTTACTAGCTTTGGGACTGTAGACAAGTCATTTCATCACTACGGGCCTCAGTCTCCTCATCTGAAAAATGGGGATAAAACATGCCTACCTTCCTCTTCTTACAAGGATGTTGCAAAGATACAGCGAGATAACCCTAAGCCTTGACCCTCCTTCCAAAGCTAGAAAATACACAGCAAAGGTGGTGCTACTTTCATTAGGAATCACACCAAGCTTGTGGAAAAGCAAAAAGTTTCAGCGACCAGTGAATAAATGCCCTGTTCCCCTCTCTACACTAGTAAAGAGGGAATAATATCCACATGCTGATATGAGTTTGGCAGAAACCATGTCTGCTCCTGGGACATTAACTTTTAGCCCAGCAAGGATTCAGGCCTCTGAAAATAGTGTCATGAAATGTGAGCTCTCCAGAGAGTAAATATTTGGCTTGTGAGAATTTCTGCTGTTTTTCTGTAAAGTTGATGATCTTATCAAATGGAGCGACACGGTGTAATGCAGCAAACTGGGAACAGTGGGGACCTAGCTCCTCTCCTCCTTTCTTTCTGGACACACAGTAAAGGAGTGTTCTTTGCATTTCTCCCTTCTGCTCTGTAGTTCCCAGCCCCATCCCTTCTGAAACAATGTTATTAAAGAGAGCCCTGCACTGTTCTTTCTCTTGCTACACCTGCTCAGAACTTTTACACTCATCTTTTCCCATCTCTCCCAATACAAACAACTTCATTCAACAGTATTTTTTTAAAAAAAATAATGAAAAATAAATGTGAAGAAAAGTTTACGCACTTGTTTTACCTGTATGAGTCCTGGTGTGGGTCTTCAGGTGGTCAGACCGGGAGAACTTTCGCTGACAAGTTTTACACTGGAATGGTTTCACACCTAAATGGACAGAGAAGGTCTAGCCGCAGCCCTAACAATGTGGGAGCATAGGGAGGCCCCCGGGGCCAGCTTCCTGGAGGTGGCCAGAGGAGATGGGCCTTTCCAGCCCCCTGTGATGATGTCTGCATCTCTTTCAGATGTCCCCCGCACCCCAGGCCTGGCATGGACCACCTGATTCTATACAGTAATCCCTGAAGACCTGCTTCTGTCTGGGGAGCAGCTAACCCTTAACCACAAACGTCCAGATTCCCACTAGAGTCTCGGCTGTGTCCAAGACTGAAAAAGTGAATCACACACTACAAATTGATCGTGCTCTCCACCACCCTGTTGTTCACTGCTACTCAGCGTATCATCAGGAAATGGCTAGTGGGAGCCCACTATTCTGTGGTCTGCAGGAGAAATGTGGGATGTTTCATTGTCTTTTTTTTTTTTTCCCCTCCTTAAGAAAAGGAAAATCTCCAGTGGTGGGGGAGGGGGGCATACTTATTGGGAAAAGCTAAGCAAATGGCTAACCCTCTCACATCCATATTCAACAATAAAGAGAATCACAAAGTCAACTGCAACCCAAGAGAACATACTGCCAGCAACGAGAAGGGAGCCTACAAACCTGTGTGTCTCCTTTGGTGTCTTTTGAGTTGGTCTGAACGAGAAAACCTGCGTTCACAGTCCTTGAAGTCACACTGGTATGGTTTCTCACCTTGGGGAAGACACATAATCCATTTGAAAATGCTGCTGGAAATGGGGATCTCATGAAAGGCAATCTCTCCTGCTGGGAATGAGGGATCTCCAAGAGCCTAAGGCACTCTGGTAGACTGCGGTAGGGTGCTGCTATGTGAGGCTCAAGGCCTTCCTGCACACGGGGTCCTGGACAGTGAGTGGAGAGTGGGGGATGAGTTGAATGAGGATAGGTCCCTCATCTCTGAGTTGTAAGTGGACAGGAGCTCAGGTTCTGGTGTCAGACACTAGGGTCCCAACCAGCTCTGCCACTTCAAGCTCTGGGTGAAGAGCCATTTCCTTATTGAGAAAGGGGGCTACTAGTCTCACAGCTTTGAAGGATTCATGAATAGCTTGAGCCAGGCCAGCCACATAAAGGGCTTCTTTGCCCAGTGCCAAGCACACAGGCACTGCTCGAGAAATACTGGTAGAGAATCTTTAGAAAAATAATAAACCAAAAACGTCTTAACTCTTCAACTGAGTTGGAGGCAAAATTCTGGAATGCGTATGCCTTGGAGCTGGCCCCAGGTAATAAATGTTTTATGTTTTATGGTCTGAAGATTTGGTGTTCTCTGCCACTGACTTCTCATTCCTGGATCAAGCCTAAACAGCTCCATGCTTGTGAGACACTCAAGTGAAACCAGGAACCGAAGTATCTAGAAAGGCTTCGGTATTCCTTTATCCAAGAGAAGTCAGTAGTGGGATTGCACAAACTTCTGCCTCTGAAGGGAGAAGCCCCACCCCTGTCCTTGCTAGAGAAAGTTCAGCCAAATACTGGGAACAAAGCTCCATGAGTGCACTGAGTGACCTTGGGCCTGCCCACCTTCTTATGAGAATTCTGAGTCACCAGTGTTCTGGGATGGAGAGCAAGCCATCCCAGGACCAGCTGTTCTTTCTGTTAAAAGGCATTCCCGCGTTGCCTGTCTGGCCTCATATCCTCTGTTTCCCTGATTAATCTCTATTCCTGCTATACCAGAGCTCACCATTCCCTAAATCTGCCTTGCACTTTGCTTACACCAAATGCCCTTTGTCCTTATCTCCACATTTCTCCCTGTCACCAAGTCTATGGTACGTCCCTTGCCAATGCCACCTGCTTCTTCTGTGATGCCTTCTTGGAAATTTCATGATCAGTTTGAAAGCCCTTCATTCCCTCGGTACAGAACATATTACAGAACATCTAACTTGGTAGACTGGGTCCGTGGCTACCTTCCTGCAGGGGCTGGAAAATCCTGGGGGCAGGAAACTTTCCTTCACTTCGTATTTATATCTGGCCCAGTGCCTTATACTTCAACAACCGTACTCAGTCTACTTTCTTTTTGGTGCCTTTCTGCTTCTGCTCCTTCTTTGCTTCCTCTTCCGTGCCCTACTAACCCTTTGATAGCAAGCCCAAGCCCTTCCTCCTTCTGGGATGACTTTGGCTCAAATCAGCAAATCTTCTCAGCTAACTCCAGCCTCTGGTTTAGCACATTGTCACATACTCTCTTAGTCCCTTTTCATACGTGAATCCTAGCTGCAAAACAGACTATCACCTCTCTGAGAAGGGGGTTTATGACTTGCAGTGAAAAGGCACAAGTGCAGGTTCTGCTTCCACTATATTTTACCCACATGATAACTGGTCAGTGTGTGGGGATTAAATGAAAGAATGCATGTAGAGAGTCTGGCACACAAAAAATATTTGATATAAAAGTACTTAATACAACAGTCTTACTACTGTCATGTGTGATAAGAAAAGCTTGCATTCTTCCAAGAAAAGGGCTCCAGAACTGTTAAATACAGACTGCTCTCCTTGTCTTCTGCAAAGAGGAGCTTCTTAAAGCCATCAGAGGGTGTGGGGGTCATGGCTACCTTGCCCACTGCTTGCCCCTCACACACACAACTCCCCCTCCCTGCTTTTCTAAGTGTCTCTTCCCCAGTCAAGGTTTCTACAACCATATTGCCTCCAGTGTATTCCCTTGCATTTCTCTAGCCACAATTTTTCTTTATCATTTTCTTAATAGACTTCATAAATGCTTTTCAAACGATCTCATTTGGGAAACATGTAAAAATATAACAGGTCCCCAGTTCTCTCATCTTTAGCCTTGGAGCCTGTGGTCTACTGAGTGCAGACTCAGGTTTGTTCTAGAACTGCATCCTCCAGACACAACAACTTAGCAAAATCCAATGATCCAAAGAGATGTGAATACAGCTCGTCTCTTCTTCAGCTTCCCCAGAGCAAAATAAGCAGCAATAACAAAATAGTAAGGGTAACTGTAACAATAAAACTGCCCTTCCAGTTATGGGAAAAAACAGTGCCAGCTCCCCTGTAGGAAAGCCTGGCTTCTCACTGCTTCTCACTCAGTCTTCCCTGCAGTGGTAACCCGACCACACTCTCGTCCAGTGCCCACAAGGAAAAGAGCAAACTTTTGTGAAATGGCTGCTCACACTCAAGGTAGCCAATGACCAGACGAGGCCAATTCTCTTTCTCAGAGGAAGTTAAGATCCCTTAGCCTGTGGGAAAATCCTATTTTCCTTAACACATCACCGAAAATCATTTTTTTTTTAAGATTGAAAACAAAAATTAAACCTCCAAATCCATTTTCCCGTTCCTATCTGGTCGGTTGTTACTAACCCAAACAGTTCAGTTTTGCTTTGGACCACCTCTCTTTAAGTCTTACTGACTTGCTCATCAATCTCTCAAAACTGTCTGATTACCAAACTCCCGGAATAGGTCCTCTCTCTTTAGAGATGCTAATAGTATTCTAATAGTTACACTATTGTTTATTCAGACCTATTGACATACAGACTATACTAGGTGCTTCATAGCTAATGCCTTGCATTTAATTTGATTTTAAAAGTTAATCTAGGGGCACCTGGGTGGCTCAGTTGATTGAAACCTCTGCCTTCAGCTTGGGTCATGATCGCAGGGTCCTGGGATGGAGCCCCACATCCGGCTGTCTGCTTGGCAGGCAGTCTGCTTCCTCCTCTCTCTCTGCCTGCCTCTCTGCCTACTTGTGATCTCTGTCTGTCAATTTAATAAATAAAATCTTTTTAAAAATAAATTAAATAAATAAATAAATAAATAAAATAAAATAAAAGTTAATCTAGACTTTGGGCACCGGGGTGCCTCAGTCAGTTAAGTGTCCAACTCTTAATTTCAGCTCAGATCATCATCTCAGGTCATGAGATTGAGCCCCACATCAGGCTCCACACTCAGTGTGGAGTCTGCTGGAGATCGTCTGTCCTTGTGCCTCTGCCCCTCTCCTGCTTGTTCTCTCTCTCTAAAAAAAAAAAACGTAAATCTAGTCTTAAGACTGGAATAAGAAAGGCATTACCACCTCCATTTTCCATGAGACAAAAGGAAGTCCAAAGAGAGGTTCAGTAACTTGCTCAAGGTCTCACCAGTTGGTTGTGAAGTCAGAATTCAAACACATATTAAGCCTCTTTAGTTCAGCGGAATTCTTTTTCCACCACTCTGCTCTGTCATTCCTGAAGAAAGTTTACTAAATTCTTTATTAAAGGATAGACCATTGGGTTGGAAAATGCCCCTGGCAGCTTTTTTAATCTTCTTGGCCAGATCTTTCAAAGCACTGCCTACTGCCAATCCAAGAAATTTCCGGTGTCCTTAGCGGTGGGACAGCCAAGAGCAGGAGCTCTTGAATCCCCCTTGCCCACCGGCCACTGGAAATGAGGCTGGACAGGGGACACACTTACCAGTGTGCTTCCGGCTATGCATCTGTAAGTGAGACAGCTTAAAATATCTCTTATTGCAGCCCGGGTAAGCACACATGAAGGGGCGTTTCTCACTGGTCTCAGATGCCGACCGGACAAGAGTTGGGGCAACTCCAGGCACACGTCGCACATCCTACGAGCAGAGTATGAGAGAAATGGAGGCTTTAAGCCACATGTGAACATTCATGTCAGTCCTGGTGGAAGTGAGCTTTAGAATATATCCAAAGACAGGATGACGGTTATAAGATGTAAAACTGCTCCCATCCATACTCCAGATGCCCACAGCAGACATCACTAATGGACGACAGATCAGACCATGTTACAGTGCAGCACGCCAACATTACTACTACGAATCAACCAGAACTGGTACTTCTTTGAGGTCTTTTTGGGGTTGCTGATCCAGAGGATCTGGAAAAGAAATGCTAGTGATTGCAAGAGTTCCCCATCCATCCTGTCTCTCAGCTTCACCCCTGGAGACGGTGAGGTCTAGAAGTCCAACGTCCCAGAATCTATTTCCTCCCACTTGGACACACAGCCACATGACTTCAGGCCCAGTCTGAAATGTGTGGGGAAGTCCTTATTAGAGAAAAATATGGGATACTGAATGAACCCCAAACTGACCAGACTTTCCATGTGGGAGTAAATGACAAGGAAGGAAGAGGCCCCTGAGAGCTGGGGGCTCTCTCTGTGAAGGACTGAACCACCAGAGGCCAATGATATAGGCAGAGTAATCGCTCAATAGTAACACCAGAAAACACTGTGTCTGTCTTCTGGGCACTTTCCATGTCCTTCACTGTTGATTCCCTTTACCTTGAGGGAGTGGGTATGTATCAGTTCTCCATGACAAGGTGCTAAGGGGACACAGCGAGACAAATTCTCCTTCCTGCTCTCAGGATCAATGACTCATAGATGGGGAAAGTGGGAGTGTCCCAACGGCCACTGAATCTTCTTCATTCTCTTTCAGATGTGCAAATCAAGACCAAAGAGCACATCCGTGTTTTGTGTTAAGACCCAGAACTACCTCTGAGCCTAACCCATTCCCCGATCTGTGCACCTTCCACACCACACTTACATTCTAGATCCCATTTCACGTTGCCTTGCCCTTTGAGATTTTCTTTTTTGAAGGAAAAGTACTATGGTGACACACAAGTTTGCTGTTGATAGGCCACAGTGCCTCGAGGCAAATGGTGGCGTAAATTTAAATGACGAGCCAGCTGTGTTTGTCAAATTCTAGGAGAAAACGAGTCAGTAGTGAATCAACACCTGTGAGGTCTGGAGTCTATCCACAGCCATGATAGTGAGTCTGACAACCTGGGATTGGAGGACAGGAAGTTAAAAGGGGCTCTCTTCATTTCCTTTGATTTAATCTAGAGGTAGCACACACAACAGCAGGATATAAAACCGTGTTGTCGATGTCAGTCAAGGATCCTGGTGGAGGATGCTGGGGGCATTTGATGGAGGGGAGACTGGGATGACTCTTCCTGTACCTCCATCAGATTTCATATTTCTATAACCCTCACCTTATTGTCACCCTTGGAAGGTTTGGGCTGAGGGAGAACACTGTTCTATCACCATGATGCTTCTGGAAACATCAATCAGAATATCTCAGAGCTACTTGCCCCATACATCATGTTGGGACCTGGCTCGCACACAACTTACTTCTCGGGTACTGACTATTCTGGTGAAAGTATCACCACGGTCACTCGTGTTAGAGTCACTGAGGCACACGTGAAAGTCACACACTGAGACTCTTGGTAACTGTGTGTGGTTCTGATCCCCAAAAGAGGCTCTGCTGAGGTGGTCTGCCGTGGACTTTTGTGAATTCTCCAAAATGTCTACCTTTTTACTTTACTTTCCTCACTCTCCTTGGAGGCCCCTCCCCTCAAACTGCTCACAGCCCTCTGTCTCCCTGAGAAGCAATGCAACATGGTGCTTAAAAACATGGGTTCCGGAATCAGACAAGTCTCGTGTTACAACCAGTTGTGTGACTGTGCACAAGTCACTCATCTTCTCTGGACTTCGGTTTCCTCATCCATAAAATGGACATAATGGTGCCCACCTGTAAAGGTGCACTGAGGATTAAATGGAAAAATAAAATACAGACATGGAAGAACCTTAAATGCATATTGCTAAGTGACAGAGGTCAGTCTGAAGAGGCTGCATCCTGTGTGATTCCAACCATAACACGTCCTGGAAAAAGGCGAAACTATAGAGACAGTAAGAACATCAGTGGTTGTCGGGGGGAGGAGAAGAAGGGGGGACAGATGAATAGATGAATAGGGGGACAGATGAATGAACAGGCATTGTTATTTTTAGACAGTGGAACTATTCTGTACTCTAATGCAATGGTAGAAGTAGGGCAGTACACATTTAAGAAAATCCATGGAAGCCCCCAGCGTGAAAACCCAACCCTGAGGTAAACCATGGACTTCCGTTAACAATAATGTTTCAGAAAAAAAATAATGTATCAATACTGGCTCATCAAGTGTAACAAGTGTATCATACCGAGGCAAAATGTTAGTCCCAGGGAGGAGGGAGAAAAGGGAGGACAGGGGAACTCTTTGTACTTTCTGCACAATTTTTCCTTAAACCTGGAACTGATCTAAAAACTTGAGTTGATGAAGACAAAAAGCCCATATATAAAATTTGGCATACCTCCTGGCACATAGAAAATGTCCAGCACCAACACGGTGTTGCTGTTATTGTCATTATTTATTGTTATTAGTAGAACACCAAGCAAGAGAAGAGTCAGCTTCGGGCGCTTGACAATGCAGACCAAGTCAAGGTTCTGACTTGGAAGCCAAGCGTCTGGATCATTCATTGCAAGAGTTCCACAGCCCACCTGGGAAAGGTGAATTAAGCAGCGAAGGAGAAGGGATGGGGTTCTGCCAGAAGCATCTTGGTCCAAGTCAGGGATGTGGGTGTGGTCACAAGGACCTGTAGAGAAGGGGCTGCCCTCTCCACCCCAGTGGAAGAGGAGAGGTCCCTATCGTCAGAGCACTCTGTAATGAGGAACAGACTTACCAGGACCAAATGGCCATCAGCATGGAAGCGAAGGGCTATTGAGAAAGGAAAGAGGCATACAAGTCCCCGTCCAGCAAGCCCCCCCTCCCAAGTTCTCACCTGAATGCCCCTGAAGACGCCGTGGGTGTGTATTCTGTACTGGGCACCACAGAGGATGGGCGTCGTGTGGTTGTCACTCTCGTACCCTGTGCCGTGGCTGCGAACACAAAGAAAGGACAACAAGGCTCAGGTCGGTCCACCGGTGCCATCTGGAAATGCTCATCTGCGGCAGAAGGAATGTTCTTAAAACGCTCACAGGACAATGACAGCTGGCTTTTGCATCCCTGCACTGGGGCTGCTCTGGAAACAGGACTCTGGGAAGGGTGGGGCCGCTCAACCATCACGTCACCTCCACGCAGCCCTCCCTCACGTTCAGGTTCTCACAGGCCAGCCATTTGGGTCTACGCCTCTCAGACGAGCTGGAAAAAGACCCTGGGGCAGGACTTCATTGCCAGCAAGTTGTTTACCTTCTAGCTGGCAGGACTGACAGCTCCAAATATCTCAGGAATGAGCAGATCCCTCAAGTTCCACATTGAGTGCAATGGATTTTGGTCGGCACCTCATGACTCAGTTTTTACCAGATAGCCCCAAGAAAGTGATGACACAGGAGAAATGTCACATTCTCAGAAGTGGGGATTACACATCTGCGGCCCTGCTCCACTCACCCCTACAGATCAGTTTCCCAGATCAGCTTAACTCTTTGCAGCCGACCCATGGTGTCCATGGACACCGGGTAATCCTACCCAGCACTAGGCTGGCTAGTCGTCTAGTTGGTGCCCAGGTTCACCTTGAGCTGTGAGCAAGAGCTGAAGGCTGTGGAAGGCTGAAAAGAAGAACTTGGAAGAAGTGAAGACTCGAGAAGTATTCTCTCCTTTAGGTAAAAGCTGGTATGTGTGCTGCCGTTATTTTACTTCCAAATGAGGCAGAGTAAGGATTCTTATCTACATGGGAAGCGCATTACAATTCCTTCTAGAATCAGCACAGGGAGCTTTTAGGAAATGCCTCTGTAAAAAGGTGCAGCTGCTTTGGAAAATGTCTGGCAACTCTTCAAAAGATTAGACCTAAAGTTACAAGGTGACCCAGAAATTCTACTTCTAGGTATATTCCCCAGAGAAAGGAAAACATGTATCTACAGATAAACTTGTATGCGTTGTTGATTAGCAGCATGATTCGTAATAGCCAAAAAGTGGAATCAACCCTAATGCCCATCAGCTGACGAATGGATGAATGAATTAGAGTATCTTCATAAGAGGGAATATTATTTAGCAATAAAAAGGTGGGAAATACTGATACATGGTAATGTGGAAAACCCTGAAAACAGGCTAAGTGAAGAAAGTCAGCCACAAAGGACACACCTACTGTGGGATTCCGTTTAAACAAAATGTACAGAACAGGCAAATTCTGTAGAGACAGAAAGTGGGTTGGTAACGGGCTGCCTAGGACCAGGGAAGTTGGGGGGAATGGCAGAATGACTGCTGAAAATGTCCTAAAATTGTGGGAATGGTCGTACAGTTCTGTGAATATATGAGAAACTGCTGATTTGTATACTGTAAACGGGTGAGCTGTTCGGTGTGTAGAATTTATAAAGCTGCTTTACAAAATTAACTCCGGGGAATCAAGGGGTCCGTGTAATGGTTTCCCCCACCCCAAGCCTCCAGGTGTAATTAACTTGCTGTCAGGGCTGAGAACCTCCACCCTCTACCTCTGTTACTCTAGAGACACCAGGGGTCCCTGTGTGGGAGGCAGGTAGCTGGGCCGATCAGCCCACTCCAGCTGAGGGTGTGAGGAAAACCCAGGCCTGGCTCCACTCCCACTTCCCCAGGGGAGAAAATTCCTGGAGGGGAAGGGTGTCTGCCAGGATGACTGACTTGTCCACACGTCCCACAGCCACAGCAGCTGTGGGGTTTCACATTTAATTCTGGCTCCAGGCATTTCAGAAAGAATTGCCTGTCTCCCTTGCAGAGAGCAGTGATAGCAGTATGGGGAATCGGGTGGCAGTTCTGTTCCCTTGAACCTACTACACCGTGTCTCCACATCCTCCAGGTGATTTCTGTCATATCTCGGGGTGGGGGGAAATGTCCCAAAGAGCTAAACCAGGGTTAAACATGCAAAAGTCAGAAAGAAATGCCAAATCCAGATAACATCTGCCTCTGAACCTTAAAGTGTACTTGCCAAGAAAGAGGCCACATCTGCTTTCCTTACGATCATGCTATAGAGACAGTGAGGACCCAAGAGCTGATGACAGTGGCCATGTGGTAGCCGACAGAGGACAGGACAATGAAGGATGCTGCCAGAACATTCTGCCTTGAAGGCTGGGAAGAGATGTGGCCTCTGCTTGGTGTAGTCCTCTGCATGGAGCCAAAACGGGACACATTTTGTAAGGTTGAGGGATTCCAAGGGACACAACAGAAATCTGAATTATTTTAAATTCTGCTATCAAAGGGGAAGAATTCGGAACTCTTGTCTTGGCAGCTAACCACCGGATGTGTTGTTACTTGGGTTCGTGGAGGACACAGGAAATAGACTTCCCTCAAAGTACTTGTCCCAGGAAAAGAAGTGCTGCCCCACTCACAGGTAATGACATGGTCTTCAGAGCCAGATGCAAGCCAACACACACAAAGGCAACCAGAAACAAGACTGTACCTGCCAAATACGCCCCTAGCTTCTTCCACCAGGTCGATGAATAAAAACTACAGCTGGGTCCTGCCTGCTGGCTTTGGCGTCTCCAGAAGACAGACCCAGCAATGCCATTCCACACTTGGAAACCCTGCAACCCAACACTCTTCCCAGTGGGTCTGACCAGAACCGGATACAATCCACAGACATTTCATATGGGGACCACTCTCTCTGGGTGAGTAAAGGAAAGCAGGTCAATGGTCATGGAACCATACACTAACAGAGGGAGAAAAGTCATCTACTCTAACCCTCAGCTCAAACTCCTGTAACTTGTCTTCAATGGTTGGACAACAAGACTGGTGGTAAGTGTTAAAGGCAGCCCATTCCATTTGGGAAGTGCTTTAATTGTGAGGACAGACCTTTCTAAGCCAACCTGAAATTGGCCTCCTCCTTTCCATCTGCGTGTTTGACAGCCCTCTCTGTGTATCTCCTCTGCTCTGGGGTAAACTCAGCCTCAAAGACAGAGTCCAACTTGTCACTGTCTGTATCCTCTCAGCTTGGTGACTGAAGGCACTTAGTCTATAAATGTTCCATGAGAAGGACTGAATCTAAATCCTCTTCCCATCAGAGTCCTTCAGGTATGGGACCAGGTACAGAGCTGCGGTTCTCTCAGAGATTATGACATAAACTGGTGTCTGATTCCTTCCCCATCTATACCATCCTCTTCTTGATCCCCTTCCTTTGTTAAGTCTCTTTCAGCATGTGGCTTGAAATGGGTGCCAGTGCCCCTGGAAGACTGCCATTCTAAGGGAGGAGGACCATCCATAAACACAAAAACCTTAAGAATTGGGGGAGTGACATAAATAAGTAAGACCAGAGAATACATGCCTCACTCGAAGGGATTCCACTGCAAATTTTTCAAAATCAGTATGCCGGTCAAACACAGCACAATGCATTAAGCCCACAGGCTGTCAGGGCTCAATGAACACATCCAAGCACATTACTTCTTGGCACTCAGGTCACAGTGGCCCTCCTCAGTCAAATAGAATCTTCAACATCCAAGACAGCATGAACTGCAATTAAGGCACGTAGCTCCAACCTTGAGCTTGAACACATAATTTCTTCAACTGCTGTTCAAGACTACACATTTATCCTTCAAACTCCATTTTATTTCTTTTAGCAAGTCATCCCAACTGTTGAAATCTTTTTTACTCAATTTGGCTTCCAAAACATTTGTTTTCTATCCCATTTCATACTGTCTCTACCTTTGAAAATCACCTTTTTTTGTTTCCATTTTAAAAAAGAGGGTGGGGGGAGGACCTTCTTTGCTGTTGTGGGGAACTATTATATTTATAATACACATAACTGTTCTCTACTATTAGGAAGTGATAGGATTCTCGAAGTTCTCTCTATGCGGCAACCTGGGGGTAGCCATCATAGAGAATCTAGTCATTTGGATGGACAAATGTCATCAGCAGGAGTTAATCTGAGACAGAATGGCTCAGAATGATGGTGGCTGCCATTGGAACAATAGACCCAGCTATGAGCTTAGGTGGTCAAGTAAAGGCAAGCTTTTCCTCCAAGAGAATTAGCCTAAAAAAGTTCTAGTGATTATGTTGTAAATGAACCAAATAGGAGTGAAGGCAGAATTCTTAGATGTCTGGATCCATAAAGCCTTCTAAGAAGGGCAAGGAGCTACCACCCAGTGAAGAGATTTCTGGAGGCAAAGATGCACTTTCCAAATGAAGCAATCACAAAGCTCTGGACAGTTATGGGGCAAAAATTTGTCATGACCTAGAGACAAGGATGTTATTACTCATGGAGCAGCTCGAGAGTGGAATGTGAATCCCACCAGACTGAGCAATGATGAGACCCAAATCTCCCTTAGGGTAGAAAAGCTTGCGGTGGCTAGATCTACCTCCCAACCCAGATAATAAGGAGGAAAGGACGGACCCTGCTCTTTCAGCCATGGACTGGTAATTCTATGAACCCAGTTTGCCAGATCTTTCCATTTTCCAGAAAAGTCAGAAATCGAGATTTTTTATAGGAGATCACTTCAGCTCTAAATTCTGGCAAATGGGGCGCCTGGGTGGCTCAGTCAGTTAAGTGTCCAGCTCTTTATTTTGGCTCAGTTCATGGTCCCAGCATTGTGAGATCGAGCCCCACATTAGGCTCCTTGTTCAGCAAGGAGTCTGCCGGAGATCCTCTCCCTCTACCAGGGAGGTGGGGAAAGCTGTGGGGAAACGTCCCCACCCACCCCCTTAAATAATCACTCAGTCAACCAATAAAAAACTCTGGCAAATAACTGAGATTTCCTAGAATCACTATCAGATCAAACGACATATCTCTGGCCTAAAGGCCACCAGTTTGCTACCTCAACTTTAAAGGTGTACAAGGAAGTTTAAGCTATAAGCTAGAAAATTCCATCTTGGTTTCGTTATTTCCTTGACATGGCAACAAAGTAGAAGCAGGGAAGCACCTGATTCTTTGAAAACGGTATATTAGAACTTTCAAAACCCTTGAAAGCTTAAAAAAGAAGCT